TTGTGGGTTTATCCTACCTACACTAGTAGCTAGAGTTGCCGTGGGAATTACTACACCACACGAGCTTTGATACGCAAGTACCAGAGCCAGCTATCCAACCTTGAGCTGATGCAGGGTCTGTCGGCATTGGTGATGCCAGAGTGGGGGCCTCCATGGCAAATTCTAGAATGAACATCCAATATGGACACGCGCGCTGATGAACCCAGATCATAGATTATGCCAACGAAACAGGATCCATCAACGCCTGCTTACTTGTAGCCATTCATTTTCCTTATTAAAACTTTTGAAGTATCTTCAATCAAACAACATACAGATTGACTAGATACACCAGTTTTTATTCTAATGCCGATCACTAGTCCGTATAGGGGCACCGCATAAGCCTACCAGACAATCACACGTTAGGTGCTTGCATGTGCTTCACGATGTCAAAACGTTTGTGGTCGTGAAGAGTGAGGTCAGCGACGTGGATGTCGATTTCACGTCAACTTGTCAGCCACAATTGGTACACGATGAAACGATCCGCATCTGCTGCTGCCAGGCCGTTGCAAGGACTTCGCAACCAAAACGTCTCAATCGCAATTTTTTTTAATAACAATTATAGTATTTTAGTCATATTGTGCATTTAGAATGTACAATACTATTTCTAGGAGATTTTTGAAATATAGAATTCGGAGATTGTAATATAGGGATTCGGAAATTGTGATATCAACCATCATTCTGAGATCTGATCCTGACGTGGCATTTGATATCGCCCACATTTGTTTGCTCTCTTGCATCCAAGATGGCGGACTTGCAGAAGGATGCTGAGGCGCTGGATCGCGTATTGTTCCGTCTGGCGAGCATTGACGACGAGCGCATGCTTCAGGTGCTACAGTCTCTCCTGCCTCAGCTGCTCCCGCTCTTCCCGCGCTCGCTCGTGACGCCGTTGGAGGTGCAGCTAAAGGACAAGGTGCGGCTGGCACAAAAACAGCATTACCCTAGAAAAATATTGTTTTTCATAATAACATATATTTATCGACAGATCTTGCAAGTGGTCTCCCACGTCAAGACTCGTCTACAGGCGCTGGCACGCCCCTCGCTGCCGCTGGACGCGCTCTGCCAAGTGTTGCAGCGGGAGGGCCTCTCCGTTTTCTCGTACAACCTCGCCCTTCTCTTCATCGGTAAGGGGATAAAATGTCTGTATTGTTTAACATTTATTAATATTTCCTCCTTTGTCAGAACTGGGATTCGAGGCTGCGTCGACGGAGGAACAGACGAGAGTTCTGGCGGCAGTTGTCAAGAAGATCTCGAGCTTCTCGGCGACA